CATCTACCTTTATGACATAATGACGTAGATGTTTAATGATTATTAGTGCCTTGTTATCAGACGTTTGCAGAATTTATGTAAATGTTCTTAGACTCTCCCCTTGTGTTATTTCCCTCTGCCAGCTCCCCAGCGCGTAAATGTTGATTTTGATTTTTTTGTAAGGACTGGGCATCAATATTTGATGAATATTAAATCCAAATCATTTTTTGCTCGGCTTCAAATCTGTTGTTGCAGTTTGATTGGTGCAAATCTTCTTATACTCCGCGGTTCAGCTGTGTACTTAAGAACTTGTTGGAAACGAGGCCGGATGCTTTGTGAGTTTGTTTTATCTTGTACTGTTCAACTGCTCTTGGGGCTTAAATTTCTCAGCTAGGTTGCGTCCAGGACACTCATTTGCAAGAATATTTTTCTGCTTTGACATCAGAACTCTGTGCATTAGCGCGATCTGAACATCAGATGCATCTTCTGAAAGACTTTTTCAGGGTGGTATGTTAAGGATTTGGAATAAGGCGATGACAGAAAAGGCAGTATTAGACTGTATCAGAAATTGTGTTAAACTACATAAAAGTACGAAGAGTTAGCTTGTCTTTATACGAGGACACAGGACACAATTCAGATGAAAGTGCCCTCGTCTCTCTGATGAATGCCCGTTAGAAACCGAATAATGTATCCATTCTGTACCCATGGGTGTTTGGTGTTTCTTGACCCTTGACCCTCGCTGTGTGAGTGTTCTTGACTTGAGTTGAGTACTAAAGACAGTCATGAATTAATTAAAATTTACTGCTTGAGTAAGACCGCCGAAGAATTCCATTTTTCAGCAAAAATAAATAAAAACATGAAATCTATGTGCATATCACAAAAGAGAATTTCATTTAAAGCTGGCAAACATAATCAGTGAATTCACGAGCCGTCTACGAAATTAATACAGAAACACGAGGCAAAGTTAATGGAGTCTAACTTAAAGCAAACTGTCACGTTCAGCAAATTCCCTACTGGCGTTTAACGTCGTAGAACGCTCATTGATGCTCGGATTATAGATAATCAGTACAGTTCGGTTCTGGCAAATACATTGACACTACTAGAATCCGGTTTATGAAATTCGCGACAGGCATTATGAGAAATTGTCTACGGTTATGAGTACTATTATCCAACATGTTCTTACCCGTGCGAGCATTACCAGAGTCAGCGAAATCAAGGACACGCTTCAGTGGATCATGGTTTGAAACGATGCTTAGTCGAGTGATTTAACTCAGTTATCGTCTTAGTGCCTGAAGTCGCGCGTCAGCAAAAATGAATGCTGATGCTTATGTATAAAGTAGTATGTTGCATCCGTTATTTAGCTTGTCCTCGTTATGGGTACGCCATGAACGCAAATCGACGCTCCTCCAACATGCTCTATTTTTCGCTTTCTGCTGCCACCGCAGACCAAGTAATTTAACCATCGAATCATCCTAGCGCATTCTTGGATGACTCGCCTGGTCCAGCGAAACCCAGTTGATATTTCTTGACTTCTGACTGTTTTCTCTCAGGGGGGGGGGCACATGAGCGTCTTATCTTCTCT